TCCGATAATGCGCACTACCTCAGCCGCAGCTCGTCGTTTAAACGCCTGTGCCAAACGTTGAAGCGCAGCTGGGACTTGGACACCGTCGTGCCCATCGTGAGCACTCGATGCTTCCCTCAATCGTGCGTGTTGGCTCAGTTGGCCAAGTGCATGGACGTTCCTGAAAAGGTCGAAACCGGCTACGACTACGTGACGAAGCCCCAACCTGGCTACAACGGGTACCGCAACAACTATTACCAGCGCTCGATGTTGGCGCTGGAGTCGGTAAACACTGGCGTGCTCGCCATGGCTGGTTTCGTCGCTGGTGCCGCCGTGGTCGTGGTGGCTCAAGTCATGCTAAAAACTCGCGCCACAGGCGCCGCTTCCAGCTACTTGCTCGTTTAAGTATGTTTGCGCATCTGCGCAACGTGCTACGTCTGGTTAATACATCCATGTTAACTTCACATTTTCATTTATCCATCCGGTCATTGTCCATCCAGTCAGTTCCACTTCGGACTCACGACAGCCAGGATGGTCTCGGGTTTCAGGTTGATTTCTCAAACCAGGTCCAAACTTGATTGTAAAACTTCAGAGTCATCCAGAGCCTCTGGATGCTTCTGGGCCAGAGGTACGGCTGTTGCTGCTTGTTTAGCTGGGATGGAAAGATGGCAGGCACTCGCCGCACCACCACGCTTGAATCTTTGAATCTGGTTCGTACACTTTCGTGTTGAGCTAATAATGCTTGTTCTTGCCGACGAAAGCCGTCCTCGCTCCATGGCATTGTTTACGGTCGCACCCATATACAGTGCTGGCAATAAGTTTAAGACCACCCCATTATTCAATTGTTAATATATTCACGGCATTGTAAGGCTCTACGTCATCATTCTATCATTTGTATTCGAAAAAGAACCTGATTAGAATGTAACTGCTTCAATCCACACTCCAGATCTCACGATTTGCTGACATGATGATTTTTGTGCTGGCAATAAGTATAAGACCACAAGAAAAAACATCATAAATGCATGTTGATTCATGAAATATCGATGTTCAATACTTCGTTTTGCCACCCTTGAGTTCCAAGACACTCACGCAACGCCTTTGCATTGAACGAAACAACTTGTCCATGACTTCTTGGCCAATGTTGTCCCAGGCCTTCAAAATAGCCGCAATGAGGTCTCGTTTTGAGGCATACTGCTTTTCGTGGCCGTAAACGGATCGAGCTAAAATACCCCACATATGCTCGATTAAATTTAGGTCCGGAGACTTTGCAGGCCAGTCCAAAATCGGCAGCATGGTCTCCGCCAAAAACGACTTCGTCTCTTTGGACACATGGATTGGGGCATAGTCATGCTGCAAAAAGTAGTCACGGCCAAAATGGTAGGTAGTCTATAAAGGGAAACAAATGGTCAGTCAGCGTGACAATATACGCAGAGCTGTCCTGTGCCATCCAAAAAGGCCAGACTGGTCTTCCCTTTTGAGCTGAAAGCAGCCCACACCATGACACTTCCACCACCGGACTGGCGCTTCGAAAAAATGGCTTCGTCTTTCCTCAAATCATGCCAGTAGTGCTTCATACCGTCAGGGCCGTCCAGGTTAAACTTTTTTTCATCGCTGAAAACAACACGCGACCACATCTCGTCACTCCAAGTGATTTTCTCGCGGCACCACGACAGACGATCTTCTTTGTGCCTTTTCGTGAGCACTTGCGACGCCTTGGCTTTGACGTACTTGAGGTGACGAACTCTTGTGAGCAATTGCCGACGAACGTCGTACGGCGTTGCTTTGGGTGGTCTTCCAGTGCGTTTATTATCATTGTATGTTTTGGGAGCTCTTAAGAACGATGCAATGGCAGTACGTGATCGACCTATAAGTCGTTCGATCTCCCTTTGGCTTTTCTCGGCAGAGTTCAGGGCCAAAATCATGCCTTGCTCTTCCTCGGTGAGTTTTGGTCCCGCTGGCATGCTATGATGACATTTGAAATGAACTAATGGCGGGAAATTGATTTACTTAGTTGCTAGAACAAGAAAAACGTGGTTTTTAGTCATGAAAACGCTTCACATCGCACTTGACGGCGGGTGGTTTTATACTTATTGCCAAGTGGTTTTTTCTGATTTGGCGCCTTTTTTAAAAAGCAGCTGAAGTAGTGATGTTACGCAACTCAAACGTCATCAAGATGTCTTCACATGGTCTTTATGGAGCTTAAACGACTTCGAATTCATAGCATTATCCTTCTAATATGCTTGTCGGTTCCCATTTTATGGTGGTCTTATACTTATTGCCAGCACTGTATATCCTACAGGGAACGACGGAAATCCTTCCCCCGTGGTGCTAGATAAATATCTTGAAAATTGAATGATGCAATATTATTTCGAAGTTAGGTTTTGTTGGAAATTCTATTACAGTACATTGAACTTTTTCAGCTGATGAGGACTGCGTTGTTATTGGTCAAAATTTTGGAATTTCGACGTCAATGAGTGCTCATGACCACGTTGTTTCGACCAAGTAGCAAATACAACTAGTTCATTCACAAATAGTTAATACATCCAGTAAACGAAACCGTCACTGAGACAGAGCCTGCGTGGACGAGAAATTAAGTTCACCACAAGGTATTTCTACCCTATCGGCAATGCTTCGGGGTATCATGGCCAGCCTCTTCTCGGCTGCAGACACCACAGAGTTTTCGCGGTGCCAGTTGCTGGTAGATTCAGCTTGATCATCAGATGGCCTCGCGTCCAAAGTGTGACTCGACCGGTCTTATTGTCTCGTGTATATTGTTTTGTATATTGTATATATGTATTACTTTTCAAATTTGTTCAGATTCTTCTTCAGCAGCGTTTTTGCTGCCGTAAACCAATGTCACATGAAATCGAGAGGTGTGTTAGTGCATTTTGTGAGCAGTCTACGGTTTTCAATTTCATGTTGCGCGTTGTTGAAGTACAGTACATTGACGTTCAAAACAAAGGACCAGACATATCTGTTGTGAGTGAACGTATAAGCGCCCCGATAACAACGACGAACGTAGTATGCATGTTTTAACTTAATTAATGATTGGTGGAAGTAATCTTCTTGGTGCGAAATTAAGATGAAAACACAATCGCTCTGGTACAAAGTTCAAGACGTTGCTGGAATTGGATTGAAATGGTAATGGGTCACAGGGAATAACAGCCGGCGCCAAAACCGCTCAGCCAAAAGGCAACCATACTTTGACATCTAGTGCACCTAGCTTGATCATTTAATGATAATACCATAAAACACTAGGATTATAGCAAACTAAATATCAGTAACAATGTGTTTAGTTTTTGTTTGACGACTGCAAGGTCAAGTTGTATCATATCATGTGCTTGGACGTGGATAAAAATATTGTCATCGTTTGGCCACAAATATTTTTATATCATGGGACTGATTTTTGGACGTCCATAATATAAACATTCCAAAAGTTTGGTCGAGTACCACGGGGGAAGGATTTCCGTCGTTCCCTGTAAAGGTGGTGATAAGTTTGTCATGAGGTAAGTGCACCGCCCCGCGACCAGCAGACAATCGTGGCCTCCGTAGTTTACCTGTGCGACGACATGGGGCAAATGGAACTATGTCCGACATGATATCGTCGGGACGTCCTTTGTCGTTGCCCTTGAGATGAATTTTTTGCAAGATCACAATCGAATTCTGCAATGACATCGCAATGAAATATTAGCCCCTTCGTAACTGACCATGACCGCTCCAAACCACAAGATATGGGCATGAATCTGACCTAAACCGCAGTCTGAACGTCGCCTTACGGGTCCCATTGGCACGACTGGATCCCCAAGGAGCTGTATGGCTGCCTGGGTCGTGCTTTTTTCGTCCAAGCCGCGATATCACCAACACTTGCTATGAGTGTGTTGCTGATGGGCGAGATGGTAATTTTTTGCTCCAGTCATTTTGGTTTGTCCCAGTCCGTGGATTCTGTAAAGTGCGATATTTACCGTTGACCGTCGCTGTGATCGCCCGGTCATTCACAGTGGTTTAGTTTAAGTGCGATTGCGAACTTTTGCCATGGACCGCCACTGTGAACACTCGGTCGTCAACCGTGCCGAGAACAGTGTGTTTATCAACCTGACTTATGAAGTCACGTTTGGATTTGCCATCGAGGTCGCCTTTGTGAACAGAGCAAGCCGTAGGTCGCGAAAACTGGCGCAAGACAACTGAGAATTCTTTAGCTGCCTTTTCGAAAAGCTAGCACCTTGAACTATGAACCTTCCCGTTGGCCGAGGTGAACATGACGTGGACCTGGAGCTCGATGGCAGCCCACGTGGGGACTCACCCAACGCGCGCTAGAGATCTAATTGTTCTGATAGTCCCGTGGCTGACGCAAGGGGTGCTGTCCGAACTGTTATCCGTGGTGCGAGGAACCACCCGCCAGTGCGACAGTACCTACGCTCCCCGCATCTCCGTCGCCAGCCGGTGCCGGTCGACGAGGCATGGACGTATGGTGGAGCATCCGGGACCTTGCCTCCTGTGTTTGGCAGCTCTACTGGGACTACGTTCGGAGTTGCCTATGAAGATGTGGATTTGGGCCAGGACGTATATTTGCATTACGCTTATGCTCTTCCGAAGAACGGGATGTTAAAAGGGTCCAAAAAGACAAGCGGCGTGTGTTATGATGGCGTACGATACGATCAGTACATCAGCCAAACTCAAGCACTAAGTGTGTAATGACAAACCTTTTTTAAACCGGTGAGCGCGTGTATTGAGCAGGGGACCACACAATGTGTCGACGAATGGGACATGGGGACATGGGGAAGGATCTCGAGGCGGTCACTGATTCGGAGTTGGTGGCCTGGTTTATTACGTCGACCATCAGGCCCTTGACACGTTAAAAAGACGGAAAAAGGCCGCGGTGGTATTTGACATGTCAGTCCCGGACGCGACCTCCTGGATCGGTCGTATGTTGGACGACCTTGCCGTAGCACTTCGTAAGGACCGGCAGGAGTAGTTTTTGCATAAGAAGAGTCAAGAAATCGTAAAGATCATTAAAGGTGCGGTGAAACTGGCGTCGCTTCATCGCACCGTGACGAAGCAGATGGCTTTGACGAGAAACAAACCCTTGAAGAAGGATGTCTACCGGTTCGTACGTTGGCTGTGCCTGTATGCCGGTGGGCATAATCGTTTGTCTGTTACGATGAAGACGCGAAGCCGCCGGTAAAGCCAGATCAGGGTAAATCCCCTGCCGGGGGGGTTAATCCAAACCCCTGAACCAAGGGCAATGGCCAACGAAGGATCCGGCGAAGTCACCAGCACCTGAGACACCATCTGGTGGCGAACGGAAGCCTATTGGCGCTTGTTTGCGTTGCAAGTCAACCGAGTGGGACGGGACTGTTCGGGAGGTACAAACGATGAGATCATGAAGTTGTTGAAGGCTCATGGAC